GTTATTGCTCTCATAATCTCCGTAATTACCTCCGCGCAACGGAGTTGCAGGGAGGTAATGTAATCGCTCTCGTGTGTGTGTTCGTGTGTGTGTGTGTAGCCAGCAGCGAGCCAGCTGTTATACACATGTATACATGTTAAAGGCGTTGGCGCGATCGATTCAGCACCAGCTCGCCTTAGGGCGTCCAGTCAGCAGCAGCTCGCCTTAGGGCGTCCAGTCAGCAGCAGCTTGCCTTAGTTCGTCTAGTCAGCAGCAGCTCGCCTTAGGGCGTCCAGTCAGCAGCAGCCAGCTGTTATACACATGTATACATGTTACATGCTCGCGGAGGTATGCACTCTCTTTGAGTGCCCTCTGTCTAGTTACAACTGTAGCTGCTGACCACTGATAACCGGCACTGCCAAATATGTTTGTTTGGTCCTATAAAATATATATAGATGCACTTTCGATTAGTTACGGCCTGCCATTAAAATTATTATCTGTGTCAAATAAATTGAAGATTAAAAACATGTAGACAAATCAGGTCTCACCTATTAGCAGACATATTAATAATTACTTCAGTATAGAAATTCACATAAGTTAGTGCTCACGACAGTTGCCTTGTAATTGGTGCCACCAGACAATAGTGCATTTCATTCAGTGATGTGAGTGGTTCAAGACTGATCTGTGTCATAATTTATGTAAGTTACCACTAACAAAAATGTAGGGACAAGATCTAGTGAGAAAGAAGTGGCATTATCATTCATGTAACTGTGTCAACAAGAAATCAGCAAATGTAATTTCAATAGTTGCGTATTTAGGTGAAAGTAACGATGCAAGAGTGTTCTAAGACATGTTAGCCTAATATGTTAGACACTTGCTGTTACGCACCACTACATTTACGCAAGCAATACCAGTTAGTATTGTAATGGTTGGGAAGATTGTTGGAAATCCTTGCTTACGTTTGGATGGAAAAGAATGTAGAGGGAACAGGGGAAAGTATCTTAAGAATGCTCTTCAATTTTAGTAAGAAACAGTTGCGCAGTGAACTATGCATATGTTTGGGGGCCCGTGCTGCCCGTAATGATGAAATTCTTACAGTACTTATTGTTTCGTGCAGGATGAGTCATTTACTGTCTTATTACAATG